CGACGCTTTGTGGATTTATTCTTCTCCTGTACTATCCCCTTGACATGCATGGTACGAAAGATTTTGAACTGGGTTAATGCTGGGTGGCGGTTTGTGCGTGCAAACCCATTACAGCCACCCCCTTAGTTGTTAGATAACAACACAACATGTCACACCTCTAAAGTAGAAAATCAAATGAATGGTTTCAGGAAGATTCTTAAAATATCTCTGGCCGGCAGGCATTTTAAAACCGGCCCCAGAATGTTTATGGTTTAAACCTAAGAGCCACTCTGAAGCACAAAGATACAAAAGCTGAAGGTCAAACGTACAAGTTAACCGGCTATTAAGGCTAGTTTTATTAAATACAGCGCTAGCGCTGAAGGCTATATTGACGAAGCCACGATACTATGAAATGGCAGTGGCGCCAAAGGAAGATTACATCGTTTTTAATCCGTCCAAATATTCATTCCATAAGCGGCGAAAAAAAAAACTTGCTGATAACAACGAAACCGGTGATTTGCAGTGAAAGAATATGTGCTCGATTTGCAAGTATAATTCAGCGATCAAAAATCGGATTCAAGAAAGCAGTCAAAGTCATCCATTCAGGCAAGATACCAGAAGTGAATCATACGATCGGCTGGGTGTTTAAACTCCATTTTAAGCTATGCATGTCGAGGTATGTATTCTGATTTCATGTAGTGGCTTGTGTCATGTTCGATCAATATTAACACCGCCATGCAGGTTCATTTAACCAAATATAAAGAGTTATCTCTCAATAAAGTTATCCCTGTACGTTTCCTTTCTTTCTAGGATACAGCAGGTGCTCACACATACTCTAGCATGTACATTTATAGTGTATTTTATTGTATCTTAGAGCCTATGGAGCGAGTTTTTCTACTAGGTAAGGTGAAAACTGCATAATAATTATAATGAAAGACCTTTAAGCTTTTGATTTGATGCGCTTTTCACCTGGCCTAGCCTGGATAACTTGCTCCACTGAATAAATACTAAAGAGGAATTAAGTTTTTCGCGCAATGAAACTAGCCCGTTCAATTATATCATTTCACACTTCTATTTTATATCGAAATTTTGTTCTTATTCTCGAAATTATTAGGCTGGTGGAGTCTTGTGTCAGGTCTAAAACCCCACAGTTTAATCAAACATATTACATACAGAAGAGCAGATGTTAGTTGGAATTACTTTTCAAATTCCATGCAATAGCGCTGGATTTAAACAAGAATGCAGCAGGTAGAATTTGAGAGTGGTTAGAGTTATTAGGGACAGCAATTTTTTAGAAACGAACAAGGTAATTTGGCGTAGGAAAAACATATTCTGCATCGAGTAAGGTTATTGGAATGAAATTGTAGCCAGGCGTAATAATAAAATCAATTACATTTTTATTTTATACGAGGCATCTAGTGGCAAAAAATACATCAGTTTTGTTGGAAGAGATGCCACCCAAGTGATTTTCCAGACGTCTTATCGAAAAGCATCCTTTCATATTGTTGGATTACCGAAACTAATAACCGTGCCTTACAATTTGGAGAAATGCAGTACCTCTAGCAATATGAAATGCAATAATTCGAGGCGGAAGCTGAAGCTAACCACAGGTGAAGAAAGAAGACCTAAATAAGAGGTCTCGAAAAACCGAAAACGTGTTCTCAAAAATAGGACTTAATTATTGGTCGATCGAACTCGGATGTAGGACAAAAATTGTTATAGTAAGTGTGCTAATTCATTAAAATACTCTGTACATGCAGTTGTTCTCGAATAATTCGGTTTTTGTCGTCAACTTTTGTAACATGGCGTGGCTTTGCCGTAACTTTCTATACTAACACACTTTAGTGTAAATTGACTAATTTATAACTGAACAGTTATATAGATTCAAAGGTACAAATAATTAAATTTCCCCAACATTCTCGTCTGGTACAGCTATTTGTTAGTTAAGGCGGATTTCCACTTAGAGCGAAATCGTTCGCTAGCGAAATATTTGCATATTTTCTTTTGAATTTTAACGGCATAAATAAATTAGGGCGACTTGACTGGTCACAATTCAAAAGAAAATATGCAAATATTTCGCTAGCGAACGATTTCGCTGTAAGTGGAAATCCGCCTTTACACTATTGGTTAATCATCTCCTGGCGCAAGAATTTTTCAGTCAGAATTTCCCTTTGTCTATTAGAGTTGAAATTTAAAATAGACGATGTGAGGGAGTGCAGACAAAATTAATTTGCTTTTTACAATAATTTTTTATATTTGTAGGACTCCGGGACGAATTCAGCAATAACTTAAACTTACGTAAGAGAAAACGAGGCCCTTGGGAACAATAATTATTCTGAAGACGCATTTTCTTCCGGAAGTAGCGGATCTTTGTGATGCAAATTAGGCACAATGCATCGCGTGGAGCACGTTCGTTCTTCTCCACTTCGTATAGTTACGTCGTCAAACGAAGGGCAAGAATTGTTCGATATTTCTCTCAATGTCGATATTACCCAATGTATATTAGAATTTGAGCCTTATCTAGACAGAGATATTTCAAAATTAAACGCCCGTTTAGTTGATAGAGCTGAGAACCGTTCAATTAAAGCACGAATGAAGATGGCAATCCGGAGGCAAAATCTCAAGTTAACCGGTAATCATGACCAGTCGATGCGGGGCTGGAAGACTGTTTTGACAAAGAAACGATGCTGTTAGTTCGAAACGACACTTAAATCCGATTCCATAATCGGCAAAACAAAATCAAACTTGCTGATAAGAGCGAAGCCGGGGCTTGGCAGTAAATTAGTATGAAGTCGATGATCGCTAAAATAATTCAACTGTCGAAATTCGGACTAGGAAAGCTTAAGCCAAACCTTTGCGGGAAAAGGAAAATCGATGTAGTCAAAGTCGACAACCAGACAATATACCAGAAGTGAATCTCGCAATCGGCTGGGTGTCTTAACTTCATCTTCGGCTATGTCGAGGTATGTATTCCGTTTTCAATGCATGTGTTATATCATGGTATATTAAAACCGGGTTCAACATGCAAAATAGAATTATATGTGTATCTCCAGTATATAGGGTAGGCAAGTGCCCTACCATGCATATACACTGAATTTTTGAAAAGACCTACTTCAGAGTGTTCTGCCTTAAGGGGTTCGTTCCGAAAAATTACTATGTCCCAGAATTCTAACCACTCTCAAATTCGACATGCACTATCACTGCTTGAAACTTAATGCAATCAATTTAATTAAAAGTGATCTCAACTCACATGTGCCCTTCCAATATGCTTGATGGATCAGTGCGGTGTTAAACCTGCATGTGAGCCACAACACTAGACTAAAGAGGCAGGTAATTTCAAGATATAATTAATTCGGTATGAAAAAGGTTTGATTGAAATGGTTGGTTTCTTTTGCGGAATGAACTTATTTCCTTTTCTCACCACGTTCGCACGAAGGAAAATATTTTTCTTCTCCATACACCAACATACATAACGATATAGATGTAACTGCAGGCTTATTAATCAGATCAATTGCATTTTTTTGTTGTGCCCGGCATTTAATGACCGAAATATATCAATTTTGTTGGAACAGGAGAAGAAAAAAGCACAATTCAACACCATGGAGCTAACGTTGCATCTACAGCTGAAAACCTGAAAACAATATAATTATCAGGTCTCAAGTCCTGAACAAACATGTCCCCGAATCCAGGACCTAGCGTGACAAATTAGTGCCTCAACCTCGGTTTAAGAATAAATAATGTTGTGGTAAGAGTGCCAATTATTTAAGATTGTTTTCAGTGTCTCAAAAGCTGTAAATTTCTTTAATTTGATCTTTATTTTATCAAAACTTTGAACTATTATATCTATAAGATCATTTTACAGCGTCGGGAATAATTTGCCAGCGCAAATCCCATCTACAATACACGAAACAAGAGCAAAAAAACACACCTAAGTTTGAATTTTTTTCGTCTTCGATTTTGAATATTATAAATAAACAAGCTTCAGGGATTAATCTGCGAAAATCATAGTTTAAAACATTGTAGAACCGATTATCGCAGAGCCAATATTTTATACAAACTGGCGCATAATACTATACATATGATGACTGATGATATAAAATTGCTATTAATGATCAAATCTAGACTTATTAAAACGCGTAAATGACTTTTCCGTACAAAAATTCACATTGTTATAAACTGGTGTAATAATTCGCTTAGCTTTGAACAAACTCAGTTATTATCAGTTTTTCTATCTCTCTCTACACCACACGTTTCATATATATCTCTGTTCTGGAGCATATTTCCATACGCCCCCAATGTTCACCCATGCATACTAAGTATAAAAAAATTATCTTTATATTTACATTCATCACACTGGTATAAAAACCTTTGGGTACATACCATATACTTATTCGTATAGCTGTTTTATAGTTTTGAAAAAAATGATATTCTGGACCAAAAAAATTTATCAAGCAAATTAATACGTTTTGAATTTTAAGATATTGAATGGAAAAGGTTTTCCACCCAGTGCTGTTAAGTTTCAGCGTATCGAAACTTCTCATGCTCAAACAGTTTGCAGGGCTTCTCTTGTTTTTAGATGTAGTTGTAGATGGTCAACAACTAAGCGAAGGTCGTATAAATTTCTTTGCAATCGTATAAAGGCCTTCTTTGTTTGGAATTATAAATTGTTGTTGACATACAGTGAAAGGTAATAACTTAACAGTATATCAAGACATGAATTAGAATTATAGCTCGGCTAGCCACAGCGAAAATAATACCAGGTCTTCCGCGGTAAAGGAAGCTTGCCAACCTGACTTGTTACATTCAGCACCATACAGCAAATTGCTTCATAACTAATTTTTATTTTCCACTAGATCTTGAAAGCAAATAAAACATATTAGATATAAGACGGGAGATTTGGTGTGGGCCAAGATTAAAGGGTTTGGAGAGAGGCCGGCAAAAGTAGGTGAAAGAAAGAGATGTGCTGCTACAAAACATTTGTGAATTTGCTTGCGTTTACATTATTTCGTTTTTTGTCCCAGGTCGTAGCTAAGGTAAACACGCGTTACGCCATCGTGTTCTTTGGGTCGTATAAAAGGTAAACTATCCTTCTTAACTTTGCCTATTTAGACTTTATTGCAAAATTGAAAACTTTAATTCAACAGGCGTTCTGTCGAAAGCAAGAATTTCACTTTATGGAGAGACCGGCTCAGTTTCCGCCGTCAAGGCTTAATAGGGATATGTTCGACCGAGGGATAGAAGAGATTGAGGCGGAAGCTGATGCCCGGGCCAGAGAAGAAGACATGATGAGAAGGGATGACAGAACGAATGCAGGAAGAACTTGATTCGTTGGATTGATAATTGTTTCATAAACAATCTAACTTATTTCCCAGAGGCATCATGAGTTTTCGCCGTCAGGGTTAGCCCTAGAGAAAATTGAGGCGGAAGCTGATGTCCGGGCCAAAGGAAAGAAGACGGGGAGGTAGAAAGGACGAATTCAGGAAGAATGGGAGACGCCGCGGTAAGCAACCCCATTTCATTAAAGTTTCTTGTTCAGTGGCAAACATACTCTATATATATTTTAAAACCTACTAGGAACGGTTTTTGACATCCCATTTTCAAAATTGGGCGATAGGTAATTAGCGAAAATGTCAAGTCACAAACTTACGTAAGAGGGCTTACAGGGCCATCGAGTATGTTTTTGAATGTAGTTGTAGCTTGTCAACAACTAAGCTAGGGTCGTATAAATTTCTTTATGAAATTGTTGTTGATTTACAGTTATAGGTAATAACTTAACAGTATGTTATTATAGCTTGGCTAGCCATGGCAAGAATGGTCTTCCGCGGTAGAGGAAAATTATTAGTAACCTCGAAAAATTGCTACACATTCAGCACCATACTGCAAATTGCTTGATAATTTTCATTTTCCACTAGATGCCGAAAAGAGGTAAATAATTGCAGAGATACTAGATGGGTGATTTTGCCAGAATAATACAAGGTCTTCCGCGGTAAAGGAAGCTTTCTAACCTCACTTGCTACATTAAGCACCATGCTGCAAATTACTTCATAACTAATTTTTATTTTTCCACTAGATGGCGAGAGCAAATAAAAAATCTTTTCAATATAAGACGGGATATTTGGTGTGGGCCAAATTAAAGGGTTAAGAAAGTGGTCGGCAAAAGTAGGTGAAAGAAAGAGATGTGCTGCTACAAAATCTTTGTGAATTTGCTTGCGTTTACCTTATTTCGTATTTTCTCCCAGGTGGGGGCTAAGGTAAATACCTAAGCATTACACCATCCTGTTCATTGGATTGTATTAAAGGTAAGCTGTCTTTTTTATCTTTAGCTATATAGACTTTTTTCAATACTGAAAAATTTAATTCAACAGGCGATCTGTCGAAAGAAAGAATTTAACTTTATGGCGAGACCAGCGTCAGGTTCCAAGGTCAAGGCTAAAATTAATAGGGAGATGTATAAGCAAGCATAGGGGAATTTGAGGCGGAAGCTGATTCCCGGCCAGAATAGAAGATGGCGGGGAGGAAAGAACGAATACAGGAGGAACGGGGGAAGCCACGGTAGGAACGCCATTTTTTTAATTTTCTTGTTCAGTTGCATGCAAACATACTCTATACATATTTTAAAGCCTGCCGGGATCGTTTTTTGACATCACGTTTTCAAAATTACACGATAGGTAATGGGCGAAAATGTCAACTCACAAACTTATACGTAAACGGAATATTAAAGAGTTTCCATAGAACTTCGCAGTATAAACACCTTCTGAGAGGAAAACATTTGATTAAAAATTTTTATTACTTCACCCAACAATTTTAAGTAGTCCCAAGTATGAAATAAATTAAATGATAAAAGTATTTCATAGAAAACGTCTGCAGTATTCTTAATTCTTTCACCTGCGAGACTTTTTTATCACCTGTACCAATTTTTATCTATCAATTTTAAGAATTCCCAACATGAGGAAGAGGAAGAAAGAGAGGCCAGGGTAGGAGCGCCATTTTATTAAAGTTTCTTCTCCAATCTTTAATATACTCTGAATTTTTTAAAACCTGTCGCGAGATTGGTTTTGGACATCACCTTTTCAAAATTAGGAGATAGATAATATTAAGCAGCCTACGTACAATTTCGTAGTATTGACACCTTTAGAGGGCAAAACGTTCAATTAATAATTTCTATTACTTCATCCAACAATTTTCAGTAGTTCCAACCATAAAACAAAAAAGTATCTGATATAAAACGTCTGTAGTATTCTTAATTCTTTCACTTGAAAGACTCTTTTTTACCATCTGTACCAATTTTTATCTATCAATTTTAGGCATTCCCAACACGAGGAAGAGACTCAATTTGACGAGGGTCCCTCGACCTCAAATTTCAGGGGAGAGGCAACGATAGGAGCCCCATTTTATTAAAGTTTTTTGTTCAGTAGTTTATATACTCTGAATTTTTTAAAACCTGACGCGAGATTGGGATTTGACATTGATGTGATCACCTTGATGATGTGATCACAGGTGATCACCTTTTCAAAATTGAGAGATATCAAGGAGACTCCATACAATTTCGCACTATAAACACAGAGCACTATAAACACAGAGAGCAAAACGTTCAATTAAGAATTTTTATTACTTCATCCCACAATTTTTTAGTAGTGCCAAGTATAAAACCAAAAACAAGTATTTGATAGAAAACGTCTTTAATATTCTTGGCGTAGCGGCGTTAAGAGCCCGACAATTTAGTCATATATGCTATGCTAATATTTTGGTGTTCATTGGCTGTGAAAACAATGAATTTCTAAGGAAATTTATAATGGTTATAACATAAAATTCGCATAGCATGACTAAATCGTCAGGCTGGCTAGGCCACTGTATTATTTCACCTGCGAGACGTTTTATCACATGTACCAATTATATATGAATTTTAAGCATTCCCAACAAGAGGAAGAGGAAGAAAATTAATTCAAAGTTTTTAGGATATACATGGTTTGGAGGCTAGATGGAAGTACAATACGGCTCATTATTTATGTTATTGTCCAGGTTTATGCAAAAAATGTATAATTCTATAATAATATCTTAGCTCCTCGTCCGTTACTTGAACAAGCAACATGTTAATTCAAACCTTACTATTGGTTTATTTGTTCAAAATACAACAGACACGTAACGAATAAGGAATAAATTTTTGCATAAATGTTCCCCGACATAGTTAATGAGTTCTATTATACTTTTATGTATTCTCTAAACCATATGTATTCTATTAACTGTGGTTGATTCGACAAAGATCCCTCGACCTCAGGGGCAAGGGGAGATGCCCAATTTCATTAAAGTGTCTTTTTCAGTCGTTAATATGCTCTGAATTTTTTAAAACCTACCGCCTTTACATCGTCTTTTCAAAATTTGGGTGGTATAGGTAGTTACAAAAATATCGACTTACAAACTTACGTAAACTGAATATCAAGGTGGTCCATGTTTTCACAATTTCTGTTTATAACGTTTCAGAGATGAGCATCCATTATTAATGGTAATCGAATGAATAGGATTGCAATGAGACGCTACGATTTTATTACATCATATGCTAATAATTAACAAATAATTAAGCGATGTTGTTCGTACAATTAGGGATTAATAGGTCTCGTAATGTTTGAAATATTTTCAGATTTTGGTAAAATTATCAAACATGTTCTTTAAAGCTTTGCATAGTGCTGTTCAATAGCCAAAAATCTTTTGATTCTTTGTGATGTAATATACACCATGTAATTCATTTAATACAAGCTTTCCGTCCGGGAGCCCGGGCCATCATCGGAGAAGTTTTTTTAATTACAAATAAAGTTATGTGCGCTAGCACACCACGCAACAAGCTCTCACTGGAGTTTTGGACACAGGCTTTTTCACTACGCACGCGCTGTAAGCGTTTACACCTGATTCCCTTCTAGTAAACTCCGATCACATTTTTTGAATGATAAGGAGAGAAATTAATTACCAGTCGAGGGGAATATTTAACAAGGTTAAACTCGATAATAGGCGATGAAACTCGTTAATAGGCGACTTGCACTAAAAGGTCACATGACCTCCCCCGCCATGTTGAATGAAAAGCGCGGTAGATTTGAAGACATGAATATAAATGGCCTCGGGCTCGGAAGACCCTTTTGTTGAAAAAAATCTCAGGTTAGTAGTATATTTATACTAGAAATCTATTTAAGTGCTATTCCAAATTACACTACTTCCTTTCAATGAACTTTTTTCCGTCCAAGCTGTAGCAAAGTTATGTTTTTAAAATAATATTTACAGTGGAATTACAGTAGTCGTCTTCTCGCATTAAGTTCTGCGGATGTCGAAAAATATGCCCAGAAAGTGGCAGGATGCGAGAGTACACAGAAGGCGTGCAAGTATTTTGCGGAGCAAGGATACTTGCATGGTATCAATGGCTGAAAGAAAGTAAGCATGGTATCATGGCTGAAAGACTCAATCCAAGACACTGTTATTGACATACCAGGATACCGGATATATAGAAAGGACCGTAATGGTGGGTCACATGGTGGAGTCTGCATTTATGTCAGGAATGAAATTCGTACCACCACTTTAAATAATCTCCACCATTCAAATCTTGAAGTTTTGTGGATTAAAATAAGACCTAAACGTTTACCTCGTGGTATATCCTGTATTTTCATAGGTACAGTTTACCACCCACCAGCGTCGGACAACCAAGCCATGATCAATTATCTTATTGAAACACTAACCAGCATTGAGGCTAACAATTCGAACTGCGGCATTATAGTTATGGGAGATTTAAATAGATTAAATACTAGCCGTATCAATCGCCAGTTTAAATTAAAACAGCTCGTTAAATTCAATACTAGGGGAGAGCGTACTCTTGATGTTATACTAACAAACTTGAGCCAGTTTTACGATCAACCTGAAAAACTCCCTCCATTTGGTCTGTCCGACCACTTTACCATTAAGGTTCTTCCGATGGAAAGGTCAAAGAAACCAGACAATTTCAAAATTCTACGCACTAGAGATATGAGTCAAAGCAATAAAATGGCACTGGGCAGAGTTTTGTCTTGTTTCGATTGGTCATGTTTACATAACTTGAGAACCTGTGAAAGTAAAGTCACCCTCTTCAATGATGTTCTTACTACCACCATGGATATTATAATGCCTATAAAAGATAAGAAAATTTGTACAAGTGATGCACCATGGATGACTGAGAAACTTAAATCTAACATTCGAAAACGCCAAAAGGCATTAAAAGAAGGTAATCAAGATGCCTTCAAGTACTACCGCAATCAAGTTAACCGTGAACGAAAAAGGTGTAGACAAGTTTATTATTCAAATAAGGTAGAAAATCTTAAGCACGCGAAGCCCAAAGATTGGTGGTCTGCTGTTAAGAAAATTAGTGGCATGGGTCCTCTTCATAAACCAGAGTTACAGTCAAACGTCCAAATTGAAATGTTTGATGGCATAATAATTATGAAATTGCTAACACTATAAACAACATGTTTCTCGAACCTTTGAATGATTTCCAACCGTTAAATCCTACCCCCTCCACGACTGGAAATGAGAATACAGGAATAATGACTCCGAACAGCTTACATGTCTCCGAGGAAGACGTCTATGAAGTTTTGAAATTAATAAATCCTTTCAAAGCATGTGGCCCCGATAACATCTCTTCATGGGTTTATAAGCAATATGCTGATATACTTTCCTTACCAGTCAGTATCATTTTAAATAGTTCGTATGAAGAGGAAAAGTTACCCTCTGTGTGGAAAACATCTAACGTCGTCCCTATTCCCAAAATAAAACCAGTAGAATCAGTAAACAAGCATCTTCGTCCCATTGCCTTAACACCTATAATATCCAAGATAGCTGAGAAGTTTGTAATTAAGGAGCACCTCAAGCCAGCCATTTTAGAAGTCCTAGATCCTGACCAGTTTGGTGTTATCCCAGGAACGTCAACGAGCCATGCCCTGATCAAGCTAATTCATAAATGGACAGAAACCACAGATGGCAATGGATCTACTGTACGTGTTGTTCTTTTGGACTATCAGAAGGCGTTTGATTTTATTGACCATTCTATTCTGGTATCCAAACTTAAGTCACTACGTATCCCTACTCCATCCTTAAATTGGATCATAAACTTTCTAACAAATAGGAAACA